CTCTCATGGGGAAAGTAAACATAACACTATCAAAAGAGTGTTCAGGCATGCCAGAATCTTATTCTAAGTATTTGGAGTCACTTAATGAGGATCAACTGGATGCTGCTTCTACTATTGCCTCAACCCCATTGATGGTTGTAGCTGGTCCAGGAAGTGGAAAGGTCAGCCACAATCTTCTACTTTTTACATCTTCAAAGTTATTAATTCTCTTTAGGTGTTCTTTCTTGCAGTTATGCTGATAAAACACTATTATGTCTTATCCTATACATATTATATACTCCTTTTTAATTAGGTGACTATTATAAGTCTGAAGTATGAGGAGTTTTGATGTTTAAGCTACAACGATGAAATGTTTGAACTGTTATGTACCACAGATGAATAATTGATTGTCTATTCATCCCAAAAAAAAAAAAAAGAAAAAAGTCAGTTACTTTTAACTATATCATTCCTTGAGTAATGGCCATGTGGATCCAAAAGGACCAAAACTGTAGTGTGTTAGTGTCTAATCACCTACATTTAATAGCTCTACTTTTAAAATTGAACTATATGTTTGTATGAAATAGACAGAGAATATGATAATGTTTTGTTGGCTCTTTGCAAATGGTCTGGTACTTGGTTTTAAAAAGCGCGCCTCGGGCTCGCCTTGCTCCCAGGCTCTGGGAAATGGGCTTTAGCTAGGCGAGGCTCAGTCACCTACGGGAGCGCGCCTTGTGCTCCTCAAAGCGCCTTTGGTGAGGTGCGCCTTTGGCCTCAAGGAAAATAACTAAGATTTAAGTTACTACCTCCGTTACATGTTATGTGCAACGATTTGACATAAAGCAGAGAGGAAAAATGTCTAATCGTTGCACATAACCTGTAACGGAGGTAATATAAATTGAAGAATGATGGACATTTTTTCAAATTCAGACAACCTTAGCTTTACATATATCATTATTTAATTTATTATGAATCTTTTTAATTGGTATTAAGCACAATCAAAGTAAAAAATAATTTGAAATAAATATATAAATACACGCGCCTTGCATACAAAAGGTGTGGCCTTTGCCTTGCGCCTCACGCCTTGGCTGCAAGGACCATTTGCACCTTGGTGCGCCTTGCGCCTTTTAAACTAAAGTCTGGTACTAACCTGATAAAGTAGAGGTTGTAGTTTTGATGATCTCTTTTATCTTCGCCATGTCGGAAGAAAAGTTTCCTATTGTTCAATGTATTCTCGCCTATCATGTAATGTCTTGAAATGATACTCCCATAACTATTATCCTTTGTTGTCTTTAAACTTTATTGATTTCGTTCTTTTAGAATAGGTTCCTTCAAATCCTCTTCCATCAAAGGTTAGGACTATAGAATGTGGGAAGTGTAGTTTTGCATCCATGTTAGCTACACCACCTACACGCTTTGTGTTTACAAATTACTAGTAATTTTTTTTCCGGTTGTTATGTATCAGACATCACCTTTTTCCTATGTGTGTGCATGTGTGTGTGTGTGTGCGCATGTATTTCTGTATCTTAGTGTGAATTGATTGTAAAAAAGGTGATGCTGTGAATTAGCTATGGTTCTCTGTAAATTTATCTTCCAATTTACTTCAGACAGAAATTGAATTGACACTTGTCAAATTTTCTAGTGCAGTCCATATTCAGTTTTAATGGGGCAGACATATCTGGATTTGACTCATTTCGAAAAGATTTCCCCTGCCACAAAGAGGTTTGCCTTGCAATTTTGAATTTGTCTCATGTAGAGTGCATCTGCAGATAAGATTATAACTTCTACAAGATTTATTTATGTTTCTGTTTCTCATCTTGGGATATACCTTACATAAGTATGCTGCTTTTACTTCAGGTACGGCTAAAGAAAAACTATCGATCTACGCGTTGTATCGTTGATGCTGCTGCTTCTTTAATTCGGCATAGCGTAAAGCGAAGTCAATTGAAACAAGCATTTACGGATAATTCTTCTGGTTCTAAGGTAAATTATTCACCTAATCACATTTAACATGGGCACGGTGTAGCCATTGCTTCACATCCTTTCTCTTTCTCTCTCTCTCTCTCTCTCTCTCTCTCTCTCTCTCTCTGTTTAAACCCCTGAGGGTTTTCTTCTTTTCAGATAACATTAAAGGAGTGTTACACTGAGAGTGCACAATGTGCATATGTCGTTGATAAAATACTGGAAACCGTGTCAAATTCCTCAGAAACTAATTGTTCGTTTGGCAATATTGCAATTCTTTACAGGAGGCAGGTTACGTTTATGCTATCCATAAATTTTACTTATTTCACTATCTGCTTCGTTATCTATTGAGAAGCCTAACCCCATAAATTATCATAGGTGTCAGGCAGAGTTTTCCAAGCAACCTTCCGTGATAGGAAAATTCCTTTTAATGTCCATGGTGTGGCCTTCTACAGAAAAAAGGTTCAACAAATTTATATATTAAATTACAATTATCTTGGATGCTATCTTTTCTCCTTTGATTAATGTTGGAATTTACGACCTAAATGATATGGAAACATTGATGCCATCTTGAATATAAGTATTTTGGCCTCATGGATGTAAGAGTTGGGTTGTTGATGAGAAGGATAAAATAAAAGCTAACACCTTTCCATGGTAGTTTTAGTGACACTATAATTGCTTGAACTCAACATAAGAAGCATGTCCCTATCATGCTGATGTCAGCATGGTATGACTTGAATTTTAATATGAACTCAGTTTATAGGTCAAATTTTAGAGAAAGAAACCAAATCAAACTTGATTCCTTTATCACACAAAGTTAATTTGAACCTCATTCCATTTATCTTATGAAAATGTGCACCAACTTGACTCGACATGTTCACTATTACAACTTTGACCGTTGGTTTAATTTTTCGAAGCAAACACCCTCCCTATCCTTTGAGTGTCATGGGTCAATTCACATTGGAATATGGAGAAACTTCTAGAACGTGGGATCTTAATTGATCTGGTGTGTCTTAGATTTTCATTATGGGTGGTTTAAGTTATGTTCCCCCCCATTGTTATAATTTTCGTTATCAACGGTGGTGATTTTAGGTTTTGATTGTGATTTGGTGGTGTTTACTTGGGTGACTGTGAGTAGTTTGAAGGGAAATAAGAGAAGGTTTGCTATTTGTGGTAAGGAGGAAGGTGGTAACAAAGGCTAGGCAGTGGTGGCTAAGTAGACTAAGGTGGGGGTGATGGTAGGGTGTGGCTAAGGAGAGGGGTAAGTAGGATAATGGTGGGTAAGGGTATATGTATGTCTTTTTCCTTTATCTTTCACCTCACCTTTATATACCTGCTATAGAATTGCACCAAGAGGAAGTATTTTTCTTTAGTAAAACTCAAGGGGTATTCTCATGGTGGTCTTGTAGGTTTGTGTTTTAGTTTTGGTAGACAATTTCATATTATTCTATATATTTTTGAATTTAACTATCATTGCTGGTTGTGTTTATGACTTTACGTGTTATGAACCTTAAAAACGTATATGTGGTGCTTTTAAAAACACCACTGTTGATTTAAAAAAGTCATGATGTGTTTTTGAGAAATTCATTGGAGTATGGTTTTTATGACACTCCAATGGTGCTCCTTTGGTCTTCATTTTGCTCCTATATTTTAGAAATTTATTTCTCCCTAAAAGAAAGAAGGGAGGAAAAACAGAATATTGCGTGTGTGTAGAGCTCTTGTAGAGTTGTAGTAGCACATCCTTGTTTTTTGTAGATGAGAAGATAAGTTAGGTGAGAAAAGATCGACAATGTCAGGGTCACAAAAGGCAGTTAATGCCATTAATCAACTCTTTGTAGAGGGTTCTTATAGATGGGGACTAAATTTCTAATATACTTCCTCCATTCTAAAAAAGTTGGCGTATTCCTTTTGGGAAATTTCTTTTTAGTTAACAAGTTTCCATTTAAGGGAAGTTTTATATGTTAAAATGTCAATTTTACCCTCATTGATTTTACTAACTCTTCTTCTCTGCCTCCATTATAGACCTGTAGCTACCAGTTCTCCTCATTTTATCATGATGTTGATCTTTCCCTCTCCATCTTCACCCTACGCAACTGCTACCACCGCAGTCACCTAAAATTTGACAATAACCAACACTTTAGCTGTTCCCCAACGATTACGTGACTCCCATTCATCGTTTCTTATCTCTTAAGTCTTAAAAAATAAGCAGCCTACTTTAGTGGCTAAAATCTTGAAAGATGTGAAGGATTTGTGAAAATTTATAGGTTGGAGTTCATCAACTTGCGACAAGTTTCATTATTTGAGCCTTCACATTAACTCGTGTTGCTGCTCTCATCTTCCTAAAATCTTTCTCTAGCATCTATGGAGCTTTTTCGAAAGGAGATTTAGAAATCCTAGCCACTCAAGATGACGGTAAAGAGGGAGTGGCTGGGTGGTGACTTAGGTGAAGGTGGGATTAGGGTAGCTAAGGATTAGATGACAGTAGGGCGATGCTGTTGATGGTTTTGTTACCTTGCCAAGTTGATTAATGAAGGTGAACGGTTGGTGAAGGGTACTTTTGTCATAACTTTTTCACATATTTTGCCTAAATATGTGTGCCAAATCGTAATGTGTCTACTAATTTGAAACAGAGGAAGTATTTGCTTATATTAGAAATGTTCAAATTGATTTGATCACTTTATTTGCGTTTATTTATGGTTAAGTTGTTTTTATTTTGCGATGTTAGATTTTAAGAAACTTCATATTAGGTGAATTGAACATAGCCTCACTTATACTTCACATAAATTTTGCCAAACTCACTTTACTATCTTTACCTTCTTACCCCCACCATATTTAGACTTTTCTACACTCCTTTACTCTACCTACTCTTTTTTATTACACATACACCACCCCTTTTTAACTCCAGTTATCTTATTTTTGTAATTATTTCTTTCACCTACTCACATTTTTAGAAGTATTTAGAGTAAAGCTTTGAGTAAATGAGTGGAACTAAAAAAGGAGGTAGTGTTACCTTATTGATTAAATCTTGAAGAATACACTAATTAAAAACCCTTAATTTCAAATTTTAAATCATTTTAATCTTAATCTTTAAGTTTTATACATTCACGGCTGTTTCCTTTTGCACTAGAAGTTAATGTGAGCCATTAATAATAAATAATAGGAAAATGGTTTTTACTAATCCTAGCTTTAGTCGATTTTCTTTACATAATTTCTACTTTTGATAATTTTGGAATAATCCCAACTTTAAGGTGAATTTACTTTTAGGTTAATATTTTTTAATAAAATATTATGCCACATTTCGAATGTTAATTGGTAAAAATATTAAATACAAAAAAGAAATTAAAAAAAAAAAGCTACCCACCACCACAACCCTTCCCTACTCCCTCTCTTGTCCCACCAAAAACCACCACTCTTCCCCCAAAACTACCCTCAACCCCACCCCCACCCCCTTGGCTGGTGGTTCGACCCCACCCTACCCTTGTCGACGAATTCCCCACCCATAATTTTGTCGCCCAGTGAATCTAAAACAAATCCCACCACCCCTTATTTTGAGCACAATTTAGCGAAAATCTAGAAAACCCACACCAACCCTCCTAAAAAACACTTAAAACCCCCCACCCCCGGTTTTAGCTTCGGGGTGAACTAAGGGTTTAGTTTTTGGGGTTGAGTTACGGGGTGGTTTGAGGGGCGGCAACTGGTTAAGGGTCGGAGGGGCGACAGGGGTGGGTTGGGGGAATGGGAAATGGCTAGGGAGGGGTGGCTGTCGGCGGTGGAGCTGGGGTGAGGGTGGTTTTAATTTTTAATTTTTTGATTCTTTTGATTTTCTTCAAGTTTTATTTTGATTCTTTTGATTTTCTTCAAGTTGTATAAACATGGAGTGTTTTACTTCATTGAAGTTGCCCTTCTTCCATGTCAATACATCCACATTTTGTTTTTATCTTTTCAATTTCATTGAACTTATTATGCACCTGTAAAGTTTTTATCTTAGGAATTACTTGCAAAATTGTGAAAACAATTATGCATAGCAATAGCTTGAAGAGCTCTCCTTACATATCCTAGCATGTTGAATAGATACAAATGAGAATTTCACCAATTTTAGGCATAACCACAAATATATTCTTTGTAATACGAGCTTTTGTTAGTCTAATGAGAGAAGAATTTAAGATCTTGTGACTTGCATTGCTTTATTGATATGTAATAACTCCGTTCTGTATTAATTGCATCAATTGGGTTGGGCACAAAGATTAAGAAATCGAAAAAGGGTAGGCCCACCATATAGGTGGCCCAACCTTGTGGCCCAACTTTACTCTTGTGATTAGATGAAAAAAAGAAGAGAGAGAGTCAAATAAACTAGGGCAAGGTCTAACTTTAGGTCTGAAATGCTTCCCATTAGAGGATTGTTACTATTAATGTGAATCTTCCATAAAGGCAATTGTTGTTATAAATAACGGAGGAAATATTATGTGTATTGACATGTAATTATGTATGAAAAAAATATTTCCAATCCTCACCCTATTTGCTTATTGCTCTGATATTTTATTGTCACAGAAATACCTTCTTGAACAGCGGGCAGTAATTAGTGTTGATGGAGGGAAACTACTGAATGAAGACAATGATCTCAGATCTGTAAGCGTGTGCTTTATAAGGATCAGTGAAACACATTGCATTTTAAACAGCAAACCTCTTTATTCTTTGAAAATAGGTTTCCAATATTAATTGCTGATTGTGTTTGTCTGCCATTTTGCAGGTGCTTCAATACTTACTAGATGATGTGAATGATTTTTTATCATCACAATCTGTTCCAAGAAAAACTGTACTGGATGATATTGTGGAAAACAAAGGTTGTATTCATGTACTTCAGGCTTTTGTGGACTATATATCTGAAAGGGAGAAGGAAAATTTTCGCTCAAGGAGACGAGATAATCTAGATTCAGTCACATTGACTACCATTCATCAGGTTATTTCCATGATTTAATGTTGTGAAAAGCACTCTGTTCTCACACCGCCATTGGTGACAAAAGATGCAGATAAAAAAGAAGAATTTAGTTTGCATAGTCTGCTATCACCTGCTATATGTTTTGTGATTTGGTTCCATAGTGGTATATTGTGAAAACAGGAATATCTTACACATTATTTTATCCTTGTGTATTTTGCAGTCAAAAGGCTTGGAATGGGACATTGTGTTCATAGTCAAGGTAAGTTAATATGTATATTTTGGCATAATCACCTACGGAGTGAGTGGTTGTATGTGCCTTCATTAAAAAGAATGTCTATGTTAGATTATGAGTCTAGTCAGTTTCTTAGTATAGAATTTTGTCATTTGCAAAAGGTTATGCATATTATAGATTCACTTATGGTTTTGGAGCCCATCTATTAATTAAATTCTCTTTCCATTTTTTATAAGTGCTTTACTTTCCTAAATCAGCCGTTTTTATTCAAGTGCATCACTTCCCCCCTTTTTTTCTTCATATCTCTCTCTCTCCTTCGCATCACTAACCTATAAAGGTCATCAAGGGTTATCCATGTATTAGCTGATCCTTCACAAGGGTAATCCGCAATGTCCAGCAATGAGGATTATTTCCTCCTTTGCTCCAAACTAGTCTAGCATGGGTGCAACACACTAGTTGCTCGGATGCTTATTGCAGTCCTCTATATTCAAAGAGGTTCCCATGGTTCGATCGAGAAGGACGAGAACTATGACATTGAGATAGTCATGGTACAAACAACCATGTGCCTAGCCGTTTGGGACTTGTGTTGCTTCACTTAGCTTGCTTCCCATGCGAAGCTAAGCATGCAAAGTTAAACGCTTATGCTATAAGGTTCCATCGGGAAGGGTTTATTACCCTTTATCAGTACAATAACTTAGACATCCCCACCAAGCGCTTCAAGAATTGTGCGTAAATCCCAGTTCCAACTAGGGGTGTTCAGATCCGGGTACCCGAATTACCCAAAAATGCGGGTACTCGGATCTTCGGGTAGTTGAAAAATTCGGGTACCCTAAAATGCGGGTACTTGGATCTTCGGGTAGTTGAAAAACGGCATATGTCCCGACCTGATATCATTAACCTAGACTAAACATAAATCCACAAAAGATATCCTCAAACTTCAAGGGGCAAAGAAGCCAAACTGAGGTTTCAGACGAGCATACTTTGGGGTAGTCGGGTAGTATTAAGGCGATGGAAGTCATGGAACCACCATGTTTCCCTCATAATTACTGAATGATAACCTTTCCAACTAGTCAGGTCAATCAAACATGAACATGTCCCCAGCAACATCAGCTCCTTCATCCTCGGAGTCGGAGAGGTCAATCACTTCCACAACCTTGGTTGTTACCGTGATTACATTGATTTCCTTTGCCAACTCCCTTGTCCTCTTGAGTGGCACCTCACTATCCCTCACCATCCCTGTTCACCTAAGACTCCTTGAGGCAACCACCTGCATTAGAAACGTTAGTATGGGTGCTTTAGGCATTAGATTGGACAAAATGCTCCACTCCCACCCTTAGGGAAGGGACGTGTGAGATAAAGTTGCTCATCCTATACCCTATTGTACCACTTATCCATTGCTTCGACTTGTCAATCATCCATCTTGAACATCTCGTCAGCCTTAACTTGGTTCCACCACGAGGTCTAAGGGTCCTTAGGGTTGAACCAAGTTTCCCACAGTTCTCCTTGACAAGCGACTTTAAGTGGTTAAGAAACAACCAAGGATCATCGGAGTACATCACCTCACTAGCAAGATCCCCTAGGCCTCGTCAACTTAGTAGGGGAAGCCCTACTAAGTTGGCAGTTGGAACTGGGCGGCCCAATCCTTAAAGCGCTTGGTGGGGATGTCGAAGGAATTGTGCTGATATAAGGTAATAAACCCTTCCTGATGGTACCCAACAGCACAAGTGTTTGACTTTGGATGCTTAGCTCCGCATGGGGAGCAAGCTAAGTAAGGCAACACAAGTCTCATATGGCTGGGCACATTGTAGTTTGATACCATGACTATCTGAGTGTCATAGTTCTCAATTGAACTATGGAAACCTCTTGAGCTGGAAATTTGGTTGCTTCAAGCTTAACATTTGGTGCTAGCAAGTGTAACACTTTTTTTTTTAATTTTTTTTTATTTTAATAAATTAGTAAATTAATCAAGTCAAAACCATTATGTAATAATGATAAAAGTGAAAGTGTAACACTTGATAAAACATGAACGGAATATTAATTTTTTTTTATTCCCAACAAACTCCACTAATACAATGGTTTATTACATTTAAATCACCATACTAAAACTATTTCCCGGTCAAACTGATGCACAACAACACCACCTACAAAGCCTCAGTCCCAAGAAAAACCAATGCACTGAATTGGGGAAAAAAAAAAAAAAAACCCAAAGGGAGTGCGAAATAAACTGATTCACTGATATTTCAAGAGACATGTACCTACAATCATCAAGCCCACATAACCTGGTGCTCTCCTGAATTTGACCATGATCTCAACAACAGAATAGTGTTCAATTGAAGTCCAAGGAAGTTTTTTCATATGTTTTTGAAGTGACGAGCTATTAAATTGTAAAATCTTTAATTTTTGTGTTCTGTAAGCCTCAATATCATTAACAAGCATAAGTTGACATTTCTTAGATAATGTTATTGGCTTATTACACTGGACTATATAGAAAATTGTTTTATTTTCTACTTGAGCTGGAAATTTGGCTGCTTCAAGCTTAACTATATTAACAGCTAGTTTTGCTGGATATTAAGGCTTCCGATCAATAGTTTGGCTCAACTGTTTAATTTAAAGTTTCTGTTAGTTCTTTGTTCTGCAAAATGTATTATATCTTGTATTTTTCCAAATATAGATATGCATGCTATTTCTTGGAAAAGTCAGTAAATAAGTCTAATCTGCACCAGGCAAATGATTCGGAGATTCCACTGTTACATGAGCATAATGGTGTTGCTACGGAACATGGAAATTCTCTTGAGGTGGGCACCCTTGTACTTTGAAGTTTTTGCAATGCTTATTGCCATGAATCAGTTGAGAACTATAAAATCCTAACTTGTAAGGTTCTGCTTGATCTGCAAATTGCAGGAAGAACGGCGTCTATTGTATGTGGCTATGACTCGTGCTCGAAAAAAGCTTTTTATGTTATATGTGACAATGGACTCAAACTGGCAGGTCATTATTTAGAAAAGTGCATTCTTTCTTTGGAGTTTCATACTCCCAGATTTTGACAACATTGAATTTAACTTCAGGTGCTTCATCCTTCTCGTTTTTTTCAAGAGATTCCAACGCATCTACTGGAGGTTCAGGTATATCAGTGTTTATTTCTGTGCTAGAGACAGATATGGAATGCTATATTAGTTCCTGCTGTTAGCTTTTTACTATATCTAGTACCTCTGGTGGCTTGTGTGTTTGAAGGATGACAATATTACCTATGCTTAGCCTTCTAATGTGAGAGTTGTAAATACGTAGTACTACCTCCGTCCCCGAAAGAACGACCCATTTGCCCTAATTTTAGTCCCAAAAAGAATGACCCATTTGCATTAAATCCCCACCAATTTGCAATAATATTTGTGCAAAATTAGCTTCCACATATAAAATTTTGTTTCTCTATCTACTTTTATTACTTTGTCTCTCTACTTTTTTACAAATCCCATGTAAATTTATCTTTCCAATATACTTTTACTTCTTTTTACTAACTTTCTACCCACGAAATCAACCCAAATGGGTCGTTCTTTCGGGGACGGAGGGAGTAATACATTAGCAATGGTCTCTAATTCCACAGTCTTTTATACTTTTCTCCCCTTTTTTATTTTATTTTTCGTTTTTCTTTTGTTGTAGTTACTACCCTGTCCATCTGATGTTTCAATTACTCAATTAGCGCAGCCCTTACAAAAGTATTATTATGTGGATACCTTCATTTCACCAAATTCCCATATTATGTTGTCTGTTTTGTTAATGATTTGATGCACGGTTCAGTTGAAACAGTAACTTAAAAAAATGCTGGGTAGTTTTGGCATGGGTATAAAAGGTGCAAACTCATGCTGACACACTTATATCCCTGCCTTTTAAAAAGTATGAGGTAACTCTTATGAATAGTGCTCAGACAATAATACCCTTTAAAGTATTTATTTAATTGCCCCCATTAACATTAAGTAGCTACTTTTTAAACTCTTACGTATAGTGTGCGAACATTTATACCCCTACATCCCAAAAAATATTTGTTTACATATTTTCCCTCATTAATACTTCTAACAACTAAAGGTTCGTTTGGCATTGATGTGGTTTTCTGTTTTTTGGTTTTTTGTTTGTTAAAAGTATATGATATATTTCCCATAATGAATCAAAAATTATATAAACTTATTAAAATCATAATAATTTTGAAAACTGACAACAAAAAAGTGAAAACACCTTTTTCTTGTTTCCTGTTTTTGGTTTTTGGTTTTCAAAAAAACAGGAAATTGAAAACAAAAAATGATGCCAAACAAGCCCTAAATTTGTGATGTAAAACTAAACCGAAAGACCTTTCCGATATTGCTAGCTATGGCTCACGCATCGCGCACGTTAGCCACCCCTAGTATTTTAAAAGTTTTTAAACAGTCAAATTAGTCATTTTTATGAGATAGCAGGAGAGGGAGTCTATGTTATATAATTGTTTTTCGCTTCTTGATATGATTTCGTAATATGTGATATGATGGAAATTAGAATCAGGAACAGCTTTTCTGCTAAGCTGTAGAAGTTCTTAGTAGTGCCAACCCTTAAGAATAAATTGAGATACCAAGGCTTTTGTTTGTGCAGCAGATTTACCTTAAAAATTGTATAACTAGTATCATGGTGCTTTCTTGTATAAAATCTATAAACTGTGTGTCTTTTCCTCTGTGAGCATAGTTATTTGCTGTCCACCTATAGGATTTGGATGCCGCCTAGGAATTTTATTTATTTATTTATTTAGTCATCGGTATGGGCATCACAAAGGGAAGGGCTTACCACTTCTGTTTGATCATCCTAAGATGATCATTTCATGGCTATTGAGAACTAATCAAATCAGATGGTTCTTTTTTTGCAATCTTTCTGACTTGCTCCTATGGAACCAAGACCGGAACGATTGAAAAAATAAGTCATTCGCAACCACTGATGAAGGATTCCTCGAAAAGTTAAGGATAAGTAATCTTTTTTAGAAGTCAAACAGATTCGGTCTTATACGTAGACTACGAAGGTAATCAAAAAAGAAAGAAGAACTCATCTTCTTTTTATTTTTTTTTATCACTTAGGAGCCGAAGGGTCTGTGTTCAATTATTAAACTCTGCTACCTGTAGGAAAGCTTCCTTTTAATTTGTCCAAAGTGTAGTGTCAAGTGTTAAAGGTCCATACCCATTTATGAGTATCAAATATTAAATAATAATCTGACATGGGTAATTAAGGTGAAAGGAAGTGTCAGAGTAACTTGGCACACATCCATGGCTGCATGCCATGTGAACTAGAATAAACCAAAAACGTAAAGTCTAATTTATTCTAATTTATTAATCAGCTCGACAATGTGACAGCTCTTAGAAAATAGAATAAGAAACAGTCAATAGCCGGTAACAAAGGCAAATTGTAATCACCAACAGGAACACAGTATATATCTCGGTTTATGTTTAAGCTTCTTGAACCTTACTATACTACTTCCGTGTTTCCAGTAAATTTTGCTTTATTGGAGATACAAAACTCAGAAGCTGCATGCAATGTTTCTGTTTTTGCAGGCAGACTTCAATTTATCTGTAAATAAAGAACTATCTGTCAAAATCGAGTCTGAAGCTATGGAGCCATGCGAAGCTGTAATAGGAAATGATTCTCCTAGCTGCAAGATAGATAAAGCATCGGAAAATTTAAGAAATATAGAAGCCTCAGAAGATTTGATAAACATAGAAGCATTAAGTGGAAACAGTTTCTTGAAAAAGTAATTTCCCAATGGCACTTTTATGTCCCTTTTTCTATATCAGACGGTTTCTTATGACGATTCATGTTAGCTGACCCCAAATCATTTTGGGACTAAGGCTTTGTTATTGTTGTTGTTGTGGTAATTGTTCATTTTATAATGGTGCATTTGATGTCTTAGGTTTTATTATTATTATTATTGAATTTATCTTTGTAATCTATTCTAATATTACTTGTTTACAGGTTCAATGTTGAAGACCGAGCACTGGTTTCACGAATATTTCATCAATGGGCCAAGAAAAAGGCTTTTCAAGATCCTAAGAGGCTACTTGACAAGGTAATGTTTTAAAACAAAGAATATTACTTTTTGGTCTCTAGATATGACATCGACTAATTATAGCTCATCAAGGATAACAATCCTTGATACTTTGATAGTACACTAGGATGATTCAAGGTCCAAATTATAAATTGGAACTAACTTGTGGGCTGTTTTCAAACATCATTGTGCAATGAAAGGATCTGTTATTTCTGTTGCGTTTCTAGTTTGTTTAGGTGTTTTACCTCTATTTTCCCATTTATCATTACCCATTTATTGAAAATGTTTCCTTCCCAACTTTGCATAAATGCTGGATTTAGTTTAGGGTTTGTTGTTGTCATAGGATGTGCAATTTGTTGAGGTAAAAATACTATAAAAAGCAGGGAAAATGGAAAATGTATGCATCCTTGTCAGCATCAATTTTGATTAAAAATGCGATATGTAATTTCATACTGTCTTTGCTATAGTGGTTTGGTGTTGGAAATCACTATGGAATAAATAATTTAGCTTGCCTAGTAAGATGCATTATATATGTGGATTCGGAATAAGTTCTGATGTGTGCACATGACATGCCATGTCGACTTTTGGGATAGAACCTTGCAAATTCATCAACCTGTTATATTCAATATATTTATTGATTTTATATGAGATGCCAATTTATAGAATAGCATTGATAAACTTTGTAAAATGAACATCCACATTTTTTTTGTTGATGAATAATTTTGATGATAAAATAATTACATTTGCACCTTGAAGATATTTGTAGGTTGGAAAAGATAGGCTAATACTAGGGAAGTTTCATCCAGCACAATATATAAGCCTTTAATTTTGTACTTTGTACTCCTATACTTTAAGTTTCTCGTAATTTTTTTTATTTATTTTTATTTTTCTTATTTATTTGGACTAGATTGTGTTGTTTTTATATACACAGTGATTTTTTTAAATAACCTAGTTCTTGAAGTTATGTATGCCCTTAGTCTCCAAATAAAAGTCCCATTTCTCCCAAAAAAACCATTGTCTCTTAATGTCCCATTTCATCTTTTTATTTATTTATTTATTTTTCTTTTGTTTTCGTTTTTGACCAACCAAATCCCACTATCTTTTTTTTTCTATACACTGTTAATCAATCTAACACCATTATCTTCCTTTCATCTTCACTAAACCCCACTATCTTATATTATTTAGTCACTTTCCTAAAAAACTTGTGTTACATACAAACGAGGCTTTTATTTTGGGACAACGTATTACATTTAATTTTTCTTCATTGAAAGTTGATATGCTAGCCTCAATGTTTATTGACTTAAGGTTTTTCATTGCTTGTAGGTGAACTTTGTTATCAATGAACGTTTGAATATCAAGAAAGGAAATAACAAGGTATGCTGATCATATAATCTTCTCATTCATGTAACCATCCTGAGATTGCCTTACTTTTCTTTCCCTTAAATTAAATTTCTATTCTAGCATTGTGGAGTGGCTTTTTTTTTTTTTTTTTTTTTTGTTTGTATCTAGTTATGGGCCTTGTGACTATTTAGAATTGGAGAATTAGGAAGCACCTATCACTGGGTAGTGAAGTTTAATGGCATCCAAGATGGAAAATGGGATTTCACTTTATTGAAGATAGAAATATATGCCAGGTTGTAATGTGTATAAACTAATGGAAAATTTGCCTTTTGCTACTACTAAAATGCACCACTTTGATTTTTGCTACCCATCTAAAATTTTGTTTTATTTTACTACTTCCCAAAACTTAAAAAAATTAGGTTTTTCTACCACTTAACAGTTCAGTTACTATTTGCGTTTGTGGGGTCTCACTTATTCCTCCTTGCTGCTATCACCTTAACCTCCATCCCACATATTTATTAACCTTCTCCACACCTTCACCCACACAAATCCACTAATAACTCCCTTGCTCCTTACGCACAGCCACCCCACAAACCTATAGCAGCATCACGTTGTAGCTCCCCCAACCAACTCTACATCGCACCACCTATTCAAACCAAGCAGCAGCCTAGCCACTGCAATCAGTGGTGCTGCCCCAATTCCAACCCCACAGCTCCTGCTCCTCCCGCACATCCTCAAAAACAGCACCACCCACATTGACCACGATCACCATCGCACCACATCTTATCGCTCAATCTCATTGCCGCCGGCAGCCATTAAACACCAACAATAATCGCCGAACCTCCAATATCAAGGAGCCACCAAGCCTTCATTTACAACTCAAACATCCATTGGGACTTGAAGCAGATGCTTCTTGTAATCAAGCGATCGCTCCACTATCATCGAATTGTTTCAATTCAAGGTTGCAATTCCTTTAATTAATCTAATGGTTGAGATTACTTGGTGCTTGGTGAGGATGTTGCCCATTGAATTGCGTGGTGGGGGTTGTCGGGGAGTAGGTGGTGTTGCCGGAGAATGGGTGGGAATTTGGGATGCTGTGAGATGGTTTGTGGAAAGAGAAGAAGAAGAAAATGGAAGGAGATAAATGAGTGGGCCCCACAAATGAAAATAGTAACAGAATTATTAAGTGGTAGCAAAACCTATATTTTTAGGTTTTGGTTGGTAGTAAATTAAAATAAAATTTTACTCCCTCCGTTTTTAAATACTTGCTCCATTTCTCAATGCGCGGAGTTTTAGAAGAAATTGGAGAAAATAATAAAATATGGAGGTAGTGGGGTTAGTTAAAGGTAAATTTGAGGAGAGGGAATCCAAAGGTAATAAAATATAATTATATTGGATCCCACTAGTTGAGAGAAATGAATTAAATACTATAAAAACTTGTCAAATAAGGAACAGATATTTAAAAACGGCCGAAAATAGAAAGTGGAGCAATTCTTTAAAAATGGAGGGAGCAGATGGTTACCAAAAATCAAAGTGGTGCATTTTATTGGTAGCAAAAGTCAAATTTTCCTAAACTAACTATGAGGAATAAATTTCAGTGGCCAATATCTACTTGTATTATCTTAAGTTTAGTATTCAATTAGGATGTCTTAGCTTTAATTTCTTGTGTGATTGGCCATAAGGGCTCCTATAATAATATTTAGGAAAGACACCCACTAGCTTGTACCAAACAAAATATTTGTTGTGTTTAGATAGCCATTTTTTGATTTATTTTTTAAAAATCTTTGTATAGGCTATGACTCATCATTATTCTTCATTGAATAATTATTGCATTAGTATTCTATTAATCTACGCACAGTCATTACCATAGTTGAAATTTTTTTTGACTCATTAAGTGATGACAATTGAATTTTGATGCAGCTTATGTATGTTGAGTGTTAGTGTACGTGGGTGTGCATGGTCATATTACGGCCTCAATTTACTGATTTTTTCTTATATATTTAAGTATCCTGTAATTCTCTATCCACAATTTCTTGTTTCTTCTTGTGCTATTTATCTTCTCAAAATTCTTGATCAATAGAAAAAAAAATTATATATCCTTGTGTGCATTACTTGCCTGGTTTCTTATCCTGAAGAAATTCTGTATTTCCTAGCTCTTTATTACCATATGACAACTGCATGCCTTACTTGAATTACATGGGTGTTTGACTATGAATTGATCCACTATTGTTGGCCTTGGGGATCTGACTTTAAGTTTATCACGTTTTACAGGATATTTTGGTTGCATTGAAGTCGTTCCTGAAATATGAGGAAGCATTTCAATTTGCTGACTATGTAAGCTCCTTTGTTTCTTTGTAGCTGGGTGGGGCTTCTGGAAGAGGAGCTAAGTTGTTTTTATTTATAAAGATCCATTCTTTGTTGCGTTTCTTTTTTTTTACGCCTTTTTTTCTCTCTACAATGCTTGATACTAGGTTATAAAGTGGGAGCAGATACCATCTGAGTAACGTGTGCATTTGACAAGGGAAAGACAGGTAGAGCTTTCTTGTTGTACCTTTTATATGAGAGAACCTTTTCTGCATTTTGATTTAATTAACTGTAGCAATCTTTTGATGCATTATGATGTGAACAAGGTTCCGTTATTGTGATAAATTGATCTAAACTGTAGATAACTACTAACCTAGATAGAGAATGATAATGACTAGCGGATTGAACAGTTCACAAAGGAAGTTTTTAACCAAGATATTGTTTTTTGTATCCATCAATTCATAATGTTTAGAATAATACTAATTTAGGACTTTTAGAAGAAACTATGTTAGATTAAGATTCATTTTGTTCTCGCATTGCCTTTCTACTGTACGTAATGCTTCATTTTGGGAATTCTAAGTCAAAGGGATTGATCTTTGTCAATGGAATTTTCAATTAAGGAATGTTTTGCAATGAAATTAGGTGAATTGACTTTTATCAATTATGGGTGATCCATAAGCTCTATTCTCTTTTAAATCTTTGTGAATATCATGTTTCTTGTAGCTTGTTGAATCCTAATTTTATTAATGTCTAGCTTTGAGTTCAAAAAATTGGTTTTTTGGGCATGTTTGGCAAAAAACTTATTGCAAAAAAGGACCTAAACCAATGTTCTTTGTTCTTAATGGTTTCGTGTGTAGATCTTACTATTCTTAAGTATGTTGGTTTAGATGTGTTGGTGGTTAAGAGGAAAACCGTAGCTAGTATGCATGGGGTCGCTTGGTGTTTAGATGACAATATAAATAAATTCTTTTGATCTCTAAGGAGTATCAGTTGATGTAGGGTTTCTCAGGGTCTCCTTCACACACCAACTTTTCACTGGATAAGATATATAAGACAAATAGAACAGGATGGATAAATAGGACCAGATCGCTTTTCTTGCTGTAGTTGTGAAATTTCGATGATTCATTTTCTTATCACTTGCTTTATTTCTCCTTTGTCTGTTGTCTGCCGACTTGCTGAAAAGAGAGAGAGAGAGAGGGGGGGGGAATTCATAACCTCATAGGCAGGCAAAGCCTGTGAAATTTTTTCTTGCAGTTGTGCAATGGATCGGGTTAACCCACCTAAACCACTCAAGGTTTATGAAAGAAGACACAAATTCACAAGCGGACAAGAGCAGTAGAGGTTAGCAGAAGACGGCAAAATAGGGGAATTTTCCTTAATTTTTATGTACAACCACTTGGCAGAGAATGACAGGTTTTTATGATTGCTAGGGTAACTTGGGAAAGGGGTGACTTTGTATTTAAATGGGAAGTAGGGTATTGTAGAAGGGTATGCTGATTTTAATGTTAATTCTAGTGTAGTAGTAGCCGTAGAATTTGCAAGATTCAATCTCTAGTTGTAGTCCTTGTAGCCTGTAAACTCTGTTCTACAATCAATCAAGAAAACCCAAGCTTTCCCCTCAATATTGTGTGTTACTGTTTTATTGCATAGTCTGCTTACCTAGTCTTCAGCAAGTGGTATCAGAGCACCGATCATGGTGACCCCGATGTTATCACAGCGAGATGACGCGACAGACGAGAAGCTAGGAGAGGTCGAATCCCGACTACAGACCAGGAAGGGAAGTTCGATTTACAGGAGGCTCATTTGAAAAGTATTGCTGAGAATATCGGGGTGCAAGGAGCTGCCATTGAGAAGGTTGTTCAGGCCGCGGTGGTGGCTGGAGTCGTGGAAGCTGAGAGGAAGCGGTACCGACTGGAAGAGAGGATCGACCGGTTCCAGATAGAGCATGAGAGGTTGGCCATGATTGAAAAAGAAAACAGTAAATAATTTCGTGAAGAAATGAAGAAGGCGGTGGTCGGAGGACAAGGGCCCAGGCCACCACAACAACCTCAGCCCATCTTCCAATCGATTGTCCAACTTGATAGCGAAGGCAGTCAAGCCCAAGGGGAGAACGAGATTCGTAACACCGTAAGGAACAACCGTGGGTGGCAAGGCGACGGTATGGGAGAGGAGGAACAGGTCGACCACCGCAATATTCCTGGCGGCGGCGGCGGTGGCAACCACTGGAAGCACCGAAAGCTTGAGATGCCGATCTTTGAAGGCAAAGATCCGGATAACTGGTTGTTTTAGGGCGGAGATTTTTTTGAGTTCTATCAATAGACCGAAAGAGAAAAACTTGAGGCTTCCATTGTGGCCATGGATGGCGCAGCCCTCAAGTGGCTTCAGTGGGAGAAGAAGTGGCGTCCGATTGAGGGGTGGTTGGATTTGAAGCAGCGGTTGTTGTATGAGTTTTGGCCATCTCACACCGGTTCATTGTACGAACCGGTGGAGCAAACCGAAACATTGGAGGAGTATAGACGGAAGTACATCGAATTGGCAGCACCATTGAAGGGAGTTCTCGAGTCTTTGATGCTGGGGCAATTTATAAATGGCCTTAAGGATGAAGTGAAAACGGAGCTCCGGATGCTCAACCCCTTCAATCTAGAAGGGGCAATGGAGCTAGTTGGGCGGATCGAGGAAAAAAATCGGGTTTGTCAAGGTTTGGGCAAGGGTCCTTCAAGAGTGGGCCACAAGTGAGTCTAGCCCAACATGTGAATGTTGTGGCCAAGGTCCAGTAAAAGTAATGGGGCCGGGCTAGTGCAGACATATGGAGTTCCCATTCACTCCAATTCCACTAAATCGTGGGTTAAACCCACTGAATCCCATGCGTCAGTCAATATGGGTGGCTCAACTGGGTTTTCACAAGGTCGAAACTCGAACATCACGAGACGACTCACAGAAGCCGAAATGCAAGAAAAGAGAGCAAAGAACCTATGCTTTCAGTGTGACGAGAATTGGAGTGTGGGGCACAGGTGTAAGCGAAAGGAGTTTAGCGTCTTCTTGGTGGCCGGCGAGGAAGAACCACAGGAAGAGGAGGTGGAAGAAGGGGGCGAAGAATCGGTGGAAGTTTCCTTGTGCTCAGTGATTAGGATTTCCAACCCCAAAACAATGAAATTGAGAGGGGAGATAGCCGGAAAATCTGTGGTGATAATGATCGACCCCGGAGCGACGTATAACTTCATTTCAGCCAAGTTAGTGTCGGAAGTGGCGGTGCCGATTGCTAGAGGCAGTGAATTCAGCGTGGCTTTGGGTAATGGCGAGTAAGGGAGTGAAATTGAAGCTCGATGGTGGAGTGTCCGTAGTGGACGAGTTCTTACCTCTGGAATTGGGGAATGCTGACATTATACTCGGGGTGCAGTGGTTAGAAAAACTCGGAGCGGTCACGACAAATTGGAAAACCCATATCATGAAATTTTGAGTAAGAGGGCTGCCGGTCACTCTTACCGGAGATCCTGCACTCGAAAAGACCCAAATTACCTTGAAAGCCATGATCCGTAGCTAAAAGGAGAAACAAGGGGTGTGGGTGGAGTCAGGTAGATGGGGTAAAGGAGGAAGAAGCAGCAGGGCCTCAACCTCCCATATTTTTGGCAGACTTGTTAAAGCAATTCCAGGGGGTCTTTGAGATGCCAGTGAGCCTTCCCCCACCTAGAGCCCGCGAGCACTCCATCGTGCTTAAGACAGGAAGTGACCCAGTTAGTGTCCGACCTTATAGGTACCCTCAGATACAAAAGGATGAGATTGAGAAATTAATCCTTGAGATGCTACAAGCTGGAATATCCGGCCAAAGACGAGTCCCTACTCTAGCCCGGTGATCCTTGTGAAGAAGAAGGATGGAAGTTGGCGTTTTTGTGTTGATTATAGGGCGCTAAACAAGGAGACGGTGCTAGATAAATTTCCTATTCCGGTCATCGACGAGCTACTTGATAAGCTTCATGGCGCTAAGTGGTTCTCGAAGTTGGATTTGAAATCCGGCTATCACCAAATAAGGGTGAAACCGGAGGATGTCCATAAGACGGTCTTTAGCACCCACGAGGGCCACTACGAGTTCCTCGTGATGCCTTTTGGGCTAACCAATGCCTCGACAACGTTCCAATCCCTTATGAATGAAGTTTTTAAAACCTTATTTGAGGAGATTTGTGTTAGTGTTCTTCGATGACATTCTTATGTATAGTAAGGAGGAAGGTGAACACAAGGAGCATGTGAGGGTGGTCTTGGAATTATTGGAGAAGCATAAATTGTATGCTAATTGGAAGAAATGTGAGTTCGGAAGAGAAGAGGTGGCTTAATTGGGACACGTAATTTCGAAGGAAGGGATAGCCATGGATATGGAGAAGGTTAAGGCAATAGTAGAGTTGAAGGAGCCTAAGAACCTTCGGGAACTTAGGGGGTTCCTCAGTCTCACGGGGTACTACCGGAAGTTTATGCACCCGTATGCCCAAATTGTGGGGCCACTCACTGCCCAATTAATAAAAGACAGTTTCGGGTGGAGCACCGAAGTAGCCCATGCCTTTGCAGCTCTTAAAACAGCCATGACAACAGCCCCGGTTTTGCGAATGCCGGATTTTTATTTGGAGCTCGTTGTACAGACGGATGCATCCGGGTATGGTCTAGGGGCAGTGTTGATGCAACAAGGGCAGCCCATTGCTTATTTTAGTAAGCTTCTAGGAGTGACAAACCAAGCTAAATCGATTTATGAAAAAGAGTTGATGGCTATTAGCTTGTCGGTATTGAAATGGCGACACTATGTGCTTGGGAGACATTTTGCAATTAGAACCGATCAACAAAGTTTGTGGTTTCTCACCCAACAACGTGAGGTTGGAGGGGAGTATCAAAAGTGGATGAGAAAGTTGATGGGGATGGACTTCGAGATTCAATACAAACCCGGGCCATCTAATAAGGTGGCGGATGCCCTGTCTCGGAAGGATAGTATTGAAGTACAATTTGGGTCCCTAATTTCAACTCAAGTAGTGGAGTGGGATGAGTTGGAGAAGGAAATTTCTGAGGATCCTTGGTTAAGTGAGCTGCGGGAATCACTAGCAGCCAATGTCAGTGGGCAGAAAGGCTTCTCCTTAGAGGGGAATCGAGTTTTGTTCAAGGGTCGGGTTGTTCTGCCCAAGGGGCCGAGGTTTGTTCCTGTTTTGCTACATGAGTACTATGATACCCCAGCTGGGGGGCATGAAGGGGAGGTAAAGACATATTTGAAGTTGGCAGCCGAATGGTTTTGGCCGGGAATGCGAAAGAAAGTAGGGGAATATGTGCGGCAGTGTGAGATATGTCAAAGAGGGAAGACCTCGCAGCAGGGCATGGCTGGGTTGTTACAGCCCTTGGCAGTTCCGGAGGCTATTTGGGAGGAGATAACCATGGACTTCATTGAAGGATTGCCTCTTTCGAAAGAGGTGGATTCTATTTTGGTTGTGGTAGACCGGCTGTCCAAGTAGTCATTTTATTGGCCTCAAGCATCCTTTTACAGCCTTGAAGGTGGCTGACATATTCGTGAAAGAGGTAGTTAAGTTGCATGGGTTTCCGCTATCCATTGTCTCTGATCGGGACAAGGTCTTCATGAGTAATTTCTGGAAGGAACTCTTCCGTCTTCGGGGGACACATCTCTAAAGGAGTACTTCATACCATCCTCAAACGGATGGACAAACAGAGGTCGTGAACAAATGCTTGGAAACTTATCTCCGTTGTTTTGTCACTAATCAGCCTAAGTCTTGGGCTCAATGGCTGCTGTGGGCTGAGTTCTCTTATAACACCTCCCCGCACACCGCAACCAAGATGACCCTATTCAAGGTTGTGTATGGGCGTGACCCTCCAAGACTCTGGAGGCTTGGAAAGCAGGTTACAGCAGTGGAAAATTTGGAAGAGAGCTTAAGGGAGCGTGATCTGATTTTAGATGAGTTGAAGATGAACTTCAACCGTGCCCAACAGCTCATGAAAGAGACAGCAGACAACAAGAGAAGGGATGTGCAGTTTGAGGTTGGGGATAAGGTATTTCTGAAGTTGCAGCCGTACAGGCAGAAATCTTTGGCCAAACGCCCCTTTGAGAAGTTGGCATCCCGCTATTATGGACCGTTTGAGATACTCCAAAGGGTGGGGAAGGTAGCATATCGCCTTGACATCCCTGAAGAGCAAAGTCCATCCAGTTTTCCATGTGTCCCAACTGAAAAAGGCTGTGGGGTACCTGCCAGTACTACCCACTCTCCCTAGCCAGCTGACTGCTGAACTGGAGCTGATTGTGGAACCTGAAGAGGTTCTAGAGGTGAGACAGAAGGGGGTGTCAGTTGAGCCAACAGTGGAGGTTTTGGTGAAGTGGAAGGGTATGCCAAATTTTGAGGCCACTTGGAAGAAATTTGAAGCCATTGATCAGCGTTTTCCTCACTTCCACCTTGAGGACAAGGTGAAGCTCTGTGGGGGGGTATTGCAATGGATCGGGTTAACCCACCTAAACCACTCAAAGTTTATGAAAGAAGACACGAATTCATAAGCGGACAGGAGCAGTAGAGGTTAGCAGAAGAAGACAAAAGAGGGGAATTTTCCTTAATTTCTGTGTACAGCCACTTGGCAGAGAATGACAGGCTTTTGTGATTGCTAGGGTAACTTGGGAAAGGGGTGACTTGGTATTTAAATGGGAAGTAGGGTATTGTAGAAGGGTATGCTGATTTTGATGTTAATCCTAGTGTAATAGTAGCCGTAGTGTTTGCAAGATTCAATCTTTAGCTGTTGTCCTTGTAGCTGTAGACTCTGTAAACTCTGTTCTTCAATCAATCAAGAAAACCCAAGCTTTCCCCTCAATATTGTGTGTTACTGTTTTATTACATAGCTTGCTTACCTAGTCTACAGCAAGTTGCTTCTTTAGTTTTTAAGCTATCGTCTACTTTTGTTTTAGACTTAGCACTGAGAGTAATAGAGGATTACATGCTCCCCTTGCTTCACAAGCTCTTGATCTTTTGTGTCATCTTGTTTGGATATCTGAATCCCAGTGAGATATCTGGTTCTCTTGGGTTTTGTTGTATTCATTGTGCTTAGTTCTGCATCTTTTATTTTATAATTCCATCCTTTTCATTGATTTGTCCATTATTAAACAGGAACATTTCCAAAAACAGCGGATGGAGACTGCAATGGGTTCATCATCCCCAACTTCTAAGCAGGTAAAAAATTATTGTATTGACGCATTAGTTAGCTGTATAATGACATATACACCTCTTAATATATTTAGAACTTGCCTCCCACATTTTTACTAGGGGCTGAAGTGTGAGCCAAATAACATCTCTACTATAGTTGGATAGAAATATAGCTTTTATCTGTCACGTGATGGGTATCATAGTAAAGATGTATTCTGCTCTTTTGGTCCTCCACCTTCTGATTGTTTTCTCAGTAGTCAGTAGCATACTTGATGCAATTCCAGCTTTAAAGTCGACATATATTGTTATATCAATGGATATGTAATTAATGTGCCAAGGGTAGTGCTTCTACTTTGGCAAGGAACACGTACTAAGCTTTGCCTAAGGCTGGAGACATGCCTTTCAGTAATTGATTGATTTTATTTGTCATGCAAGTATTTAAGCTGCTGTGAATACATGACACCATAAACGCTATTTTAAGGGAGACAAACGACATGGCTCACTTACCTTCTCGTACTAGAAGTAATATGTAATCTGCAAGTGCATCTTTGTTGATCCTAAACACTATTCTTGTACGTGTACTTGTACATTGTTTACTATGTCTCAATATTCTTTCTAATTTTAGATTTGTTAAATTATCTGTTTCCTTTGATTCTAAAATATTAATCATTTACTATAAAAATGTACCAGATTGGTTATCTGCGTAGCTTGGGCTGCACAATCGTCCCTGAATCAAAGCTGCATGCTTCTCGGTTAATAGAGCAATACAGAACTCTTTAGGGACTATGAAAATTCACTCATTTATTTACAGGTAAAAGTCCTAATCTTTGCAGCATTTACGTTGATTTTTTTTTTTTAATTAAATTGTTTTCTTTTAGTGCTAGGAAATTTAGCAAGAATTTTTTGTCATCTTTGATAATATATTTTTTGTTGTGAATTTGTATGGATAGCCAATTCATTCATGCCTGTTTCTTGAATGTATCTTTTTGACTGGGAACTTTTCAGAAAATAAATTTTGATGTTCGCTGATAGGGCCAAAATATACTAGAGTAGTATCCAAACTCTAAGTACTTTAGCAAAATCCATAATTAAGTGATATTAACATTAAGTACGATTTATCTATCTCCTGGCATCTGATTAACTATCACGTCGAGCTCATAAAACGAGTTTCTTGCTACTGAGATGTTGAACTTCCTGTAATTTGAAGTCATAGTATCCTGCATCAAGGTTACTTATGACTATGAGGCTATAATTCTGTTCAGAGCTTTCAAATTCTCCTTTGTAGAACTTCTTAGTCTCTACTATTGTGAGACATTTAATGACTAGTAAAACCTAGTTGGTATTAAAATATGTGCATTGGCTCCAAACAAAGTTCAATTGTATTGGGACTATAATTTTTTTATAGTACCCATGTCAGTGAATCTATGATCTTATGAAGCTTGAATATATTTGGGGATGTTTATTTATGTTAGTAACAAAGTACATGTGTTTTCTTAAAAATAAAAAATGAAAATAAAAAAATTACATGTGTTTCTGCTTGGAATGATTATTACCAATGAGGAAGTATAAGCCGCTACAAAGTGGGCAAAAAATCACTACCAAGTAAAGGTGATCATCCATAGCTTGACCCGCTAGCTCAATATGACCCGGCTTGAAAAAATTGTTGGTTTGGACAAGACTACAAAGAGTACACATGCGTTTTTAATTCGAAACCCGAGCCTAGCCCGAAAAAGGTCAAAAAGGCCATTTTGACCTGATAAACCCGATGCTATTTTGTTAGTTTAGACATAATTTTATGCATTTGCTACTAAGACTAAATTGTAGAAAGTTTTTTGGCTACTGTATCTCTAATAGAAATAAAAGAAATTCGTTAGTAAAGCTTTCCTCTTTGTCTTTTTTAAAACTCAAGTTTTTATAATATGTTGCTTCGTAGATGACTTTTACGAATAAAGGAAAAGACAGTCATGAAAGACATTTCGAAAATTCAAGGCAATGATATCAATGATCCAAAGGTCTTGTCAATGCCTACAAGGATGGTGAGTTTAACTGAGAGGCAATCTGACATGCTAACCCAAACTTTTCCATTCCAACAAAAGTGCGGGTTTGAGCAAGCCTAAAAAGTCAACCCGTCCATAATAGCCCGCTTTGGCCTAACAAGCCTGACTCTTTTTTGCGAGTTTGGGTATAATGGCCTAGCATGACCTGAATTTTGATCACTTTTAGTTCAACTGAGATGAGATGTGACAAGAAGATCCACATGAAAGTCAAATCCTCATGTGACTTAGAGATGGTCAACCAAGAAGTGACCTTGAAAATCGTTCCACTAATTGTTGAGGAGGAGTATATGATTTCAAATCTAATTGATAATTTCAAAGAAGATGTGAATGCTGAGAATAGGCGCAAAGGCTACACATCCACTTAGTGTATGTAGCCCCCACATACACCAGTGATGTGTCACAATTTCATTGGTTGCACATTTGACTCCCAAAAATACCCTAATATGAAATTTCATTTGAAATTTTAGATTCAAAATTCAAATTAACCAGGGACCCACTCTCCCTAACCACCCCACTCTCTCTCCTCTCTCATTTCAACCAGTTCCTTTTTTTTAGGGTCTAATTTTCTCTCTTCTCTCTCCTCTCCCCTCTCTCCTCCATTGTTCTTACTCTTCATGTTCCTATCAATTTTTTTTTAAAATGTTTTTCCAAATTTTGTTTATTAAAAAACTTTACATGACAAAAAATTTAATATTCTGAGTTTATGGAATCAAATAGCTTCAAATTATGTTACGATTTTTGTTTTGATTCCCCAATTTCTAGGGTTCTTCATAAGGTTCATCTCTTCATATATAATTTTTCTCCAGATTTGTTTGTTAATAGAATTTTTATGTTTCTAATCTTCGATATTCATGCAAATTGTTTACACAATTTGCTCCATTTTTTTAAAGAATTTCTTTATTTTATTTTCTTTTTCAAACCATTGAAATCCCCAATTTCTAGGGTTCGTAAGCACGAAATTGGAGTTCAATTCATCTATCAAAGAAATGTAATTTAAATGGTGAATTACCCCCTGCAAAATGGATTATCGCAATTTAACTGGAGAATTGCATGTTTAACATCAATTTGGAGACCTAATTTGCCGTTTTTTTCAATTTTGAACTAATTTTTGTTTGATGAACAATTATTTATGTACATGAAGGTGAATTTGCAATATTTACCATTGTTCATAACCCGATTCGCAAATTGAACTTGTCGTTTTCCATAATTAAAAGATAACATGTTGTTGAAGAAATTGGCAAATCGTTAATTCCAATGTTCTTCGGGTTTTTGGTTTTCTATTAACAATAATTGATTGGGTATTTTTTAGTAACACAAAATGACAGTAGTAGTAATCACAATCATACAACGTGGAGTTGTTCTATGTATCCCAATAACTGATTAAACACTAATTTTTAACTTCAATATAAGGGCTTCGTTGTTACTAGTTTAGAAGTTATGATACTTATATTTACATACCTGTTTCATATAAATATATAATTGTTACTATGTTTATTTAGAAACTATTAATAAAATGTAAGTAAATTTCACACATAATTACAATCTAAATGTAAGAAACAAAAGCAAGAATCATTTTTTAACGAAACAAATATAAGTTTGTTGTACTAGTAATAACTTCATGTTATGTCATTTTTAACATTATTCTGTATTTATTAGTAGTTGATAATATTTTTTGTGAATTACAATTGTTTTTTTTTTGTAACCCTCCCACCTCAAATCCACTAGTTGATTTTAACCCTTCAAAACAAACTTTTAGCCTTCTTTGTTGAGTATTGTCATTACATTGTGTGTGTATATTTATATATATATATATATTGTTATTAATACATTTGTAGACCTTGATATACTTACGTCCCCACATTATTGATAACTACCTCTTTTTCTTTAACTCTTAAGATTAGTCTATGAACATGTATACCCCTATAACACTTATAATTGATTTTACAACAAATAGATACTAAATACTAAAATTTGTGATAGTATCCAATAATGAAAATCTATTGTACGTGTGTTTCAGTTACTATGATGGTTCCATATTGAAATTTAAACATACATTGTGCAATAATTGTCAATTATAATAGTAACGAAACAATTCAAGGTTTGTTTGTGAATTAGTAACAGTATGATTTTAAATAGTATTGGAAAGCTTTATTATAGGTTGCAAATAATTCACTATTGTTATTTGTATGATTGATTTTGAGGATGAGAAAAGGAAATTTAGGGTGGTTTTGTGGGCGGAAAAAAAGAATGTAGGTAGTTTCAGAGGTAAGAATGTATTTAGGATGGTTTCGGTTCATTATTAGCTCTAATGATTTACAAAATTAAAAATCATTAGTCATCAAGGGTATATGGTGTATTTTTGTAAAAATTCGGGGGTATATAATGAATTTACAAAAGTTCAGGTGTATGTGGTGAATCAACAAAAAACTCGGAGACATATGATGAAAAACCCGTTATAAATATCTTAGATCATGTTATTGATGCTACTGAAAACGGAAAATGATAATAAAATGAAGACTAGTTAGAGATCTCCTTACAATTTTTACAAACATTTACCATCTTTATATCATTGGTGACAAAATTCTATAAATATTAGTAGCTGATAGAATATTTTATTGAATTACATTTGTTTTAATTGTAACCCTCCAGTACTTGACTAAATTTCGGACACAATTATATTAATAAATTTATGTTTTTTATTAATATTGGAATTCTATATAATAGTTTCCAGCTAACAATGTCCTATTAATAATATTGTAAATAATAAATTACACATATGTTTAGTAAATAGGCATGCTGGTTCATTCATATAATAAGAGTTCCATATGAGTTTTATAAGAACAGAAATTTAACACATTTGAAATTATTTATTCATATTATTCATATCAAATTTGAAGTGAAATTTAACAATAACTCCATTTATCTATCAAATTTTGTAAAACTAGAGTGTATCCATGCTAACGCACGGTATATATGTAACATGTATATTTATAAACAAAAAATAATATTCCGTTGAAAAGATGTGAGTTTTTCTAAAAAAAAATAGAAGTTACTCAATGGGAGGTTATTTATATAAATAAATAAATAAATTTAAAAAAAAAAACAAAAACAAAAACCTAAACTCAAGAGAGTTGAGGACTAAGGTTTTGGAGAAACCTCATTAACTGACTCTTAAATTATGTAAATAAATTGGTTTTTTTTTTTCTCAAATTCTGAAAAGCAATGCGTTGTTTTTTTTGTTTTTTTATTATTTTTTTTGTAGTTTATTTGTCTTTTAAATACTAACTCCTGCCTAATCATCCCCAAAATCAATAATGTCATATCGATTTGGTCAATGAAAATACAATTTCAGATACGAGAATTATTTATACATTACTATTTTAATAACAAACATAATTATTAGAAAGGTTAGTGACACCAACTTAAAGTCGAAACATGTATTTGTCAGGTTTTTCAACATCTGTAGTTATGAATCTAAAATATTATTAACCGTTACTATTTTAATCGAAATCTTTTTAACACGAAAAATAACTCAATCAATGTTCTAATTGGGGTTATCTGAATCTCTCTCCATCATCAAATGTTATGTATAAATTTCAGTTGTCAAAATCAAATTAGAAGATTCATATAACAAAATAATTACTGTGAGATTTAATTCTAAGTGCAAGCTTTTTAATTTGTTTTTTAATGTATTTGAATAGTACTCCCATCATTTGTTTAGTAACTTTACATATTATACTAGTGAGAATATACGTGTCACTATCAAGTTACTAATATATAGTTTTCAAAATACTAAAAAACTGTAATTGTTATTATATTACAATATAAAAACATTTTAACATCACGAAGAACTGGATTCTTCATCTTTGTCGAACCAAAATATTGGATTATATACCCAGAATTGTACAATTCCAGAAAGTTTGTCAAAACCAGACCACTTGATTTATTAAAATAAAATATATGTAACATTCAAGTTAAACAAAACTACAATTATTATTGGATTATAAAAAAAAAACATTAACGATGAAGATTGAAACTACAACATTATAAGTCAATGATTTTATAAAATTACATAAAACCTGCACATATATGGAGTATGTAGAATGAAGTATTGAACAATAGAATCTTGATGTATTGATCATATGAAATACATAGTTGAACACCATTGATTTTATTAAACAAAAAAAAAATTATACATAAATTACATCACCGGAAATGCTTCCGTCGTTAATGGCTTCCTCTGTTTTTTTTTTTCTTTTACTTTTTCTTTTTCTTTTTTTTTTATTTTTTTATTTTTACATTACATTGATGATGGGGTGGGTGGAAAAGGTGGCCCCCAACCTTTGTAGCATTGGCGGCAAACAAAAACTCCCGCCTAATATACTGTTTTGGCGGTTTTTCCATGAATTATTCCCCCCCCCCCCAATTTTCCCTCTCTTTTATTTGGTGAATGGTTAGGTGTCAACACCTAATTGACAGTGTATGTAGGGGCTACATACACTAAGTGTATGTGTAGCAGCTCGCGAGAATAGGAGTGAGGTTTCCGTGATTGAAAAATCAAATAGTGATTTAGTTGAATGGTTGAATTGGAATTCGTAGCTTCTATGTTATATTGAGGATGATTTCATGGCTCTTGAATTTAATCAAATGCACCCTATTTTTATGTCCATTAACTTTAATTTTTCATTTAAGTTACTCCATCCGTCCCTTAATTACATGTCTATTTTTCTTAAAAAAATAATGTACTTTTTGACTATATTTCTTCTTTTTGATGAGTTGTCATCAATTTTCTTTTATATTTTTTGTACTTTTGACATCATTTTCCAACACTTTATCTCTATATCTCTTTAAATATTACCAACTATAGTTTCTCTATATATCTTTCTCTAACCCCACATGCACATTTGTACTTCTCAATCATGGGTTTTAAAGACATGTAAATAAGGGATGAAGATAGTAAAAAGTTATGGTTGGTTGCACATGTCAAAAAGTGCAAAGGGGCAAGCCTCAATCATCTAAAATCATGTATCCACAAAGGAAATGATTAAACCCCCTTTGTGTACTAGTTAGCCGGTCATCATGAATGTTGTACCACCACTCACTCCCTAATTAAGTACTTGTATAGGTAGAGAGAGTAAAGCTTAACCCCGCATAAAGTTTTTTAAAAAATAAATAAACAAATTTTTTATATATGTACAATATCTTATCATAATTTAATAATTTTTAAGAAATTTAGTCAGAAAAAATCATTTATAACAATTATTTTGTTGGAAAAAACCTTATAAAAATTTTTTGGCAAAGAGAAACCAGATTGTAAAATATTTTTGTTGAAGACAACCTAAGGTCTCTAATCACTTAATTAACGACTAATTTACCCTTAATTATTATAATTAGTCATAATTTTCACTAACTACTGTAATAATTAAATTGATTTATAAATTAAAAAAAATCCAAAAATCACCCTCACCACCACCAGTCAACCACCCTCTCCATCTCCCCCTCCCATAGCAGCTAACCCCTCCCGGCCTCCTCCATTCCCAGCCGGGCAGCCGCCGCTTGGAACCCCTCACCCCCACCGAACCGCCTCCTTCCCTTTCCCCTTCACCCTCGCCGACCACCTTCCTTCGGAACCCAATTCACCATTCTTCTAATTACTCTTTCTCTCTCTCTCCTCTTCTTCCCCAATTCACCATTTTCTCTCTCCTCTTCTTCCCCAATTCAACATTGTTTCAAGTGTTAAAGTTATTGTCATGATTATGTTCGTCTCATTTTCTCTCTCCTTCACTTCTTCCTATCTTCCTTTCGTTATCGAAATTGGGGACTTTTTTTCCGGCGGATTTTCTCTCTTCCGAATGGGGTGGTTTTATGGGTCGTGGTTATGGTAGAAGGTGGTATTGGTGGCTGGTTTTCCAGAGGAGGGTGGTCGACGAGGGTAAAGGGGAAAGGGAGGGGGTCGGTTTGGCAAGGGTGAGGTGTTTCAGGCGACGACTGGGGAGGGTGGAGGTCGGGAGGGGGTTGCTTCCATGGGAGGGGGAGAAGGAGAGGGTGGTTGACTTATGGTGGTGTGGGTGTATTATATTTTTTTAAAAATTTCTAAATTAACTCAATTATTAAATAGTTAGTTAAAGTTATGGTTAATTAGAAGAATTAAGGTGAAATTAGTGGTTAATTGAGTGATTAGAGATCTCATGTTGTTTTCAACAAAAATATTTTACAATGTGGTTTCTTCTTGCCAAAAATTTTTATAAGGTTTTTTTCAACAAAATAGTTATTATAAATGTTTTTTTTTTTTTTTGACAAAATTTCCTAATTTTTAACAAAATACTACCTCCGCTCCAAATTACTTGCAACTTTGGAATATTTTATATCTCACAAATAATACCCCAAAGTTGCGAGTAATTTGGACTGGAGGTACTATGTAATTTTTTTTAAAGAAAATAGGAATTTTAAGCCACATTTCATAGCGCGCACTAACATTGTAAACTCCTTGACTACTTGTATTAAAGGTGTGTATGAAAAACCTAATCCTTTAAAACTCAATTATGAATTGTTTGTAACTAAATAAAAAAAAGGTTATATCGGACTATTATTTAGATACAAATGGAGTACTTAAATTAAGCGCAAAACTTCAATTGACAAATTCCCTAAAGCAATGGAAAATAAGGAGGTGAGGTAAGAGAAGCGGATGAGGCAACCGCCGAAGGATAAAAACTTGAACAAGAAGAAGGAATACCAAACATGCTTCCAATCGACGGGTTTCGTACTTGTAGAGGCACCACATCTTCAAGCAAACCTTGAGATCGCCCAATCGTTTGTTTTGAAGGACTTTTAGAACTTTGATGTGGATTCTTTGTTTCTCCATTTGCTTCATGCACAACTTCTTCATTCTTTATGTCTTGTTGATGAACATCTAATAATGTTTTCTTAGCCTTCTTTAAAGGAGGATATGCTTGTTCAATTTGAGTGTTGCTAAAGTATGGGTATGCAAAATGAAGGTGAAGACCTTCGTATGTGATAATAAGAGTGTCAGGTTCATCTGTAGACTTCTCTACTTGCTTCTTTGCCCCACATCTTGGATTTGTGCACTTGTAGTAGCTTCTGCATTTTAAACAAAACCATACATTAAACACTAACACTGCTTTTGGTACGTGGAGGACTAAGGACACAACTATGTTAATAAATTTTGGGCCTTAGTACCATCACTCGATATTTCAGAAAAATTATTATGAAATTTTGTCAACAACTTGATTCAATTATTGAACTAAAAAGGTTGAGTTCATCAAATTTTGATTTTAGTTGGAACATCACTGTGAATCAGGGTGAACCAACTTTTTGGGAGTCAGTGCTGATATACGACGTATGTATACGAGTATCACAAAGTTATATATTTGTAGTATTATGCTTGTAGTGGTGCTTTTTGGCTTTTTGCCATCATATTTTCCACCCACAAATTCCATTATATACAAAAATGGCATCCTATTTGCATGTCTAATCTACATAAGGTCTATACACCAAGAGTTTTCCATTAATCACATCCTTTCAATCTGTACATGATCTTGAATGGAATGTCAAAGAAGCGGTAAAGGAGTTTTTATCTCTCTAAGGGAGTTGTAGTGGTGCTTTTTGGCTTTTTGCCATCATATTTTCCTCCCACAAATTCCATTATATACAAAAATGGCATCCTATTTGCATGTCTAATACTACATAAGGTCTATACACCAAGAGTTTTCCATTAATCACATCCTTTCAATCTGTACATGATCTTGAATGGAATGTCAAAGAAGCGGTTAAGGAGTATTCATCTCTCTAAGGGAGTGTTTGGTATAAATATTCTAAATGGAACGGAAATGATTCAAATAAGGAAAAGGGTAATGATAAACGTTACCTTTACTATGTTTGGTATCCTAGTAGAATGGAAACAATTGATTAGATTGTGATTAAGGAAACATATTTTGTTTCCACTAGTTTATTAAGGGTAACAAATTGAGGGATTTTGTTACCCTTAGGAAACAGTATTTGTTACTTTTAACCCATACCGAACAACTAGAAATAAAAATACTTAATTGAATCCGTTTTCTACATCTAAAATACTATACCAAACGCCCCCTAAATTGGATGAATTTTTTTTGCTGATGGTTATAAATTTAAATATATATATTTAGCTGATTATTGAGAAAGAAAAATAAAGTGTATGTAATAATAAACTGGGGTATTAAAACGGCCAAACCTAAAACTGGTATATACTTTAAAACACAAGAAACTATCACATGGATTTAGAGATTACCTAAATCAATAAAATAAGCCTTGGAGGAAAAGGAAGGCAAACAAATTAGTGCGTTAACGTCGTTGGTAATCTTGGAATTAAAAATTGCTTATATGGAATTCAACTAATTAAACCATTACACTTCTTTAATTAGTGGTACTAGTTAGAGTTTAGAGGTTGTTATTAACTAATACCAACTATAATACATACACTATCTAGTACCATTAAGAATCGTCACTTTTGTCCAATTTAGATCCTATCCATTATTGTTTATTAGTATGGTTGGTAGTAAACCTGATCCATCCATCTAATCAACCACAATGAAAGCACAAAAAGGTGAGGAACTTCAAGTATGAACAACTTATTATATATTCAGTCCACTTCAAGTAGAGTTTTACTAGCGCATAAAGGACAATAATAATAAAATGGCCTTATTAATGACAATTAATATAGCTTCTTAGCTTGGACTTCCTCCTCCCCCACTTCTCCATTATTTCTTTGATGGTTTCTTGTCAACTTATATAACTTGATGTACATAACAATTCGTGTCCTAAGTCTATCCATGCACCATACATTATGTTCATCTTTCATTTAACATATGAGGGTCCCATTTGGCTGTTGGCAAAGAGTGTTAAATTTCAGTGAAAATTGGTAAAATGTTTCTTCCCTCAATGAGAAGGAGATTTATATTACTACATATTTATGTAGATCAAATATCCATCTTAAAATCAATTCGAGTAAAAATGAAATGTGGCTCGGTTAAACGTAGTTTATATTATTTGATACTGTTTTGTAATGTGGAATAGTTCATTAATCATTATATGTATTTAGTGTATTCCATTTTATCCATTAAAGTTTGCTCCTAAGAGGAAATCTCTACTTTTTTAAAAGTATGAAATTGCTCTTATGAATAGTACACGGACCATTATACCCCTCAAAATGTTTGTATACCTTCTTACTCACATGTGTAATTTTATAATTTCTTAAGACTCTTCAATAAATTAGAAATTAAATGGAGAATGGAATAATAAAGGGAAAAATTGTCAAAAATAATACAAAATTTGACCAATTCGTCAAAAACAAGTCAAACTTTTAATTATTTTTGTATAATACAAACTTTGAGGGGTATTCGCTTTAAACAAGTTAAAATCGATTAGTTACCTCATCAACATGTTATATGCAACACGTGACATTATATTATTTTTTAAAAACTATTAAACACATTTATAAGATAAATAAAAAAAAATTAACTAGCTAAATAAGTTGTAGGTAAAATAACTTGTTTAAAGCGGATATTCCTCAAAGTTTGTATTATTTAGAAATAATTAAAGGATTGATTTGTTTTTAGTGGACCGCTCAAAGTTTGTATTATTTTTGACAATTTTTCCATAATAAAGTTTAAAATTAAATTAATGACTTACATATAATTGTGTTTAAAGGACATTGAGACTAATAAAATAAATATATGATTGTGGCAAAATAGATGTACTCGGAATAAAGAAAACCAAATTGACTACGGTAAAAAGGAGAAGAAAGCAAGAAGAGATTCAAGGGAATTATGGGGATGTATAGAGCTTAGTTTACCGCAAAACCAAATTGTTAGAAGCATTATCTTGTCCGTCATTTTCCGATAAATTATCTCTTAATTATTGAGCATTGTGAAATCACGTGTATCTAAATACTATTATATATTAATGTCACTACTATGTATTGTGATGCACCCTATACTTCTATATATTGTCCGTTGTTTTTTTTAATTAGGCCAATGAGCGCAAAAGATATATTAGTATCATAAATTCTTATATAAAGGGTTAGCACGTTTTTTTTATCACTACTTAAATAAGGGGTACAACGAGTTGTATTAGATTTTCCATAATATCCTACAACATCAAAGACAAGAGCCCTCAGTAGCGGACGATTAACTCCATGTGAAGTGCAAATACAAGCCAAGGAAAAATAAGGCTAAGGAACGGAGAGATATTTCTTTATCAATCCATTAAGTCCATGTCAAATGTAAACACAAGCCAAGAAAACTAAGCCGAAAGGGCTAACCATCCTGTGCGCAACGCGCACTTTGGCTGCCCTAGTAATTAGGAAAAGGAGGAATATATCTCAAGCCAGTTCTCATTTATTATAAAATTAACTCAATGTCTCTTTTCTACGGCGTGATTTTTTAATTTCCAAACAAATATCAAATGCACATTATTATTCATTTAACCCACCTTCCTAACAAAATGCTGATCAAAATAAAGGCTTAGATAAGATGGAGGTAGTAGTTATACCACTTATATGAAGTATTTATTATGATGAATTCTAACGTTTAAGGGGAGGAAAACTTTCAGGGACCAATAAAATAGTGGATAAGTGATTTAGGGAGAATAGTCGAAGGACCAAGTGATGGGCCAACGAGGAACGAATGAAGCTAAGGAGCACATGATATGAGTAGGTGTTGCTAACGAGCAACCTAAATTATTTCTGGAAAAACAAATAACGGTGGCCGTAATGTTAGATGAGCAATTACTCTAGTTGTACATTGATTTTATTTATTAATTTTAAAAGGGATTTTAAGCTGTTTTTACTAATATTTCTAGCTTGTTGCAATAGAAAATTAATCGTTTAATATAAGTTCGGGGATCTAATCTCTTGCTAAGATTGAGAATGATACCGTTCAATCTCATCTCTTTTACAGGCGTGGAAGGAGGGATTTGAAGGCTTAACCACTAAGCTATTTATAAACTAATTGATCTAGCTGATCTCCATATGTAAGTAACGTAACTTAAAATTAAAATATGGATTAAGACTTAGATAAACACGTACGTAGTAGTAAAAAAAATCACGAAATTGTACATTGATTGAGAGTAACTTACCTCGGATTAGGGCTATTCTTTATAAATTTTTGCCCATATTTCCTCCATTTGTAACCATCATCAGCCATTCCAGAGCTAGTGCTTTTGATTTTTAAGGTATATTTATTCTCAGTTTTGCTCAACTCTTTCTCTAACACAATACTGTACAAAAATTAGACAATATCATGTTAATTATTGCTAACACAAAATAAAAAAAAGACTTAATCCAACTATACCTAATAATTTGTAAAAATTAATACATCATACATAATAAAGTTGCTAATTAATTGCATTGGTTAATATTTCCCTCTTCAAATAAGGAAATATTAAATTCAAATTTTTTTTTGTGGACTGTGAATTAGATTTCACAAATTATTAGCTTAGTTGAATATAGCTTTTAAGGGGTACTCAATAACTGAAATAAAATTTTGTCATCATCATTTTTCTTAGAAAAAAAATAATAAATAAATCAGAATTCACCTTGCACATGGTTATTATATACTCCTATTTGACTATTTCATATTAATGAACAAAGTAGTTGCTAGATCACGCAATGTTAATGTAGGGTAGTCACGATAATATTTGATGTTAGGTCCTCGTCATAGTTACGAAGAAAAAGGGGAAAGATTTTTCTATTGTTTCGGTCTTCAATACATGGTTTATTTTAATGGTTAACTTTTTCACATTGTAATAAGCTTTTTGGTTCTACCACGTTTTTTTTTTTTTTTTTTTTTTTTTTTTTTTTTTGACAACTTGGTCCTACCATGTTAATTTATATGAATGGTTAGAAAAATAGAACTAACTTATTGTAGCATATTTAATTCTTCACTAGACAACTTTTTCATTAGCTCTTCTCCAAAATAACCAACTAATTGGAAGTTGGCATAGTATGCATATTTTGATACTCTTCGTCCTTGCATTGATCGAGGATATATATATATATATATATATATATATATATATATATATATATATATATATATATATATATATATATATATATATATATATATCTTGTTGCTTACTTGGTACGATGTATAATTACAACTTTCTTAAGTTTCATTGAAAATCACTCAAAAATATTTATTTGCATAAGAAACATGTATATTAATTATGACGACAAGATATGCATGTTTTAGCAACATAACAAATATTTTCTCCATCTTAATTTAGTTCATTAACTTGGAATGGATTGGTATGAAATTTCATACTAGACAGGTATGGATTCTAAAACCCCATACAAGTTCAAAGTTGTTTGGTTTTACTGTTAAAATGAATTTTATCTTTCATTAATAGAATGAATTGTGAATCTTAGAGGAATGGGTGAGTATGAGATTCCATGCGTATGGAGGGGAGTTAGAACTCCTTATGTATGAGTTTCTGTTACTAAAATCTCAACCAAACAAAAAAAAAAACTTAGATGGAATAGATTCTAATTCCATTTCAACCCATTTCAAAGGATCCAACCAAACGACAACTAAATAATTTATGTATCAATAATCAATACTCCCTCCGTCCCTTAATACGAAACATCTTTTGGTTTTTACGCGGGGATTAAGAAAGTTGGAAATTCTTTAATATTGATGATTAAAAGTACATATATGCATGTGAGGTTAGAGAGAGATAGAGAGAAAGAAAAAGTAGTTGGTAATAATTGAAGAGATGGAGATAGAAAGTGTTGAAAATTGATGTTAAAGCACAAAAAAGTTGAGGAAAAAAGATGACAACTCATAAAAAAAAATGGTAATAATGTCAAAAAAAATAAAACCTTTAAATAGAAAGAGACATTGTATTTTGGTTTAGGCAAAAAAAAATGAGGCTTTGTATTAAGGGAGGGAGTATGAATTTATAATAAGGATATACCAAGTAAATTACAATTAATAAAGAACGGAATAATTATTTCTCCCTAACTGCTAATATTTGTCAACATATGTCGATTGCAATTTGGATTTAGCGATCACTTTCATGTTAAGGTAATATTTTATTTCTAGAAAGTTTGGAAACACTCGATGCCTTTATACTCGGTATTATAGAATTATCTTTAAAGAAAAGCTTTTATATGAGACGGAACTCACCATAAGTCTAATATATTCGGCAATAATATTTTATTATCTGATAATAATATTATAATATATGACATTATTATTCTAATATCTGACATAGATACTTGATTATTAACCAATGTCAAATATTAGATTACTAGGTTAAGGCCCTATTCTCTTCACCTTAATTTTGCTGAACTGAAATTATATTTACTGAACTGAAATAATTTTTGCTGAATTTAAATTATTTTTACTGAACTTAAATTAATTTTACTGAACTGAAATTATTTTTGCTGAACTTAAATTATTTTTACTGATTTTCTATTATAATTCTTCTTTAAGATAACTGAATTTTACTGAACTAAACTTATTTTTACTGAACTGAAATTATTTTAATTAAACTGAAATTATTTTTACTGAACTGAAATTAATTTTACTGAACTGAACTTATTTTTACTGAACTGAAATTTTTTACTTAATATTATTTTTTTAAGGTGAATAGAATAGGGCCTAAGTCCCGTGCCATGCACGATTATAATTAAACTTTACAACAAAAATAATAAAGAATGGTATTTTTTTTTTTTAGGGGAATGAAGAATGATGGTTAATTTAACAATAATTTATCCCAAAAAAATATTTGTGACAAAATAACTTGAATTTTAATTTATACCAAATGCGTAAAGGTTATTATTTTGAATTTTATAAAAAAATAATTTATTAATAGAAATTTAGAAGCTATTAGGTTTTATATAAGAAAACGAAAATTTATAAACTTAGGTTAGTGCCCGTATATATGTCTTCAAACAAAAAAGGAAAAAAAATAAAAGGTTAGTACTTGTATATGAACTCATATACATTTGTCCTTATATTTTTGATGACACACTTTGACCGGCATTAAATGAAAATTTAATTGATTTTATATTACTTTAGGATAATTAGTATTCCGTAATCAAATTTTTTAAAATATATTTATAGTGTGTAGTAGCGGTTTTTATTTTAATTTTAATAATCACATTGCATAACGATTAATGTCAAATGATTAATGTTGGAGCTTTGAGGAAAAAAGTGATACTCCTTAATATTATTATAATCTTGGACAACGATATATTTCAATACCTTATTTTTAATCTATGTTTGTAGACTTGTAACTAAAAGATTAATAGTATATATAGAATATATGTTAAAAGAATATTAATTGAGTATGATTGGATTAGATATGTTGTCAAAATAGAAATAAGTATTATTGTAGCTTATAAAATGGAAGTCATTAAAATTTAGCAAAAAAAAAAAAAAAAGTGCAAAAAGGAGGGAAAATAATTAATGACATCGTGACAAGTGTCATCTTACGTTAGCTTTTAGTATAGATTAATTGATGATTAATATCATATATTAGAATATTATTGGATATTAGATGATTATTATTGTCAGATATACTCCGTATTAGATTTACTGTGAGTTTGACTCACAAATTTTATTTTATTTTTTCATTTTTAAATTGGTACTCACGTCACATATGTTTTGAATAAAGGTTAAATTAAGGCCCTGTTCACTTCACCTTAAAAAATAATATTTAGTAAAAATAATTTCAGTTCAGTAAAATTAATTTTAATTAGGTAATAAAGGTTATATTAAGGTCTTGTTCACTTCACCTTAAAAAATAATATTTAGTAAAAATAATTTCAGTTCAGTAAAATTAATTTTAATTAAGTAAAAATAAGTTCATTTTAGCAAAAATAATTTCATTTCAGTAAAAATAATTTCATTTCAGTAAAATTAAAGAAGAAATATAATAGAAAATCAGTACAATTAATTTCAGTCCAGTAAAAATAATTTCAGTTCAGCAAATATAATTTTAGTTCAATAAAAATAATTTAGTTTAACAAAAATAAAATGAAGTGGTAGTAAACATACTCTTTTTTCTCTCTCCTCCTTTCTCTCTCCAAAACCCTAGCCTCCATTGTTGAATTTTAAAGGGGCTTCCATCGATTTTAATCAGTGGAAAACCCCAATCCTTGTTTCTTTATTTTTTTTTAGGTTTATAATAATGCTTCCTCCTTTTACAGGAACTTTTCTCCCTCGAAAGAAAGGGTTTCCGATCTCCTTCGAAAGACAAGGGTTTTTCGACCTCCTTCGAAAGACAAGGTTTATCTCCTCTTTTCGAAGGAGAAATTTCATAGTTTTGAACCTATGGTAGCAGATCTAATGGATTGTCGTGAAATTATTTCGTTAGTGAAAAAGTTATCAAGTTTTCGAATACGAACAGATGAATCAAAAGGAAAACATCCTCACGGCTACAACGGATCGTTAGATTGTCTCGCCAACAAGGCTGTAATTTTCAGCGATATAAGCGGGAGATGCTCCGCAGTGCAAGATCTACTCGACGATCGTAGTTTTTATGAAGGAAAATTCTATTTGATTCAATATCTTATGTATTTGTTAACGTCGAATCTCTATTGTAGATGTCGTATGACTTTTAATTAATGATATATTTTGGCTATTAAAAAAATAATAATAAAATGAAGTAAAGGGGGCCTAATTTAATAACCTAAATAAATAGCAACAATAAGATTTATGGCTTGGTAAACCTAACAAATTTGAGAACATGTGTTGACTTTTTACTCTCTTTAATACTCCGTACAAAGAGTTCCTTTTACAATTGTAATCAATAACAGCAGTAAATATTGAATTTAGTAATGAATTAAATGTAGCTACCTAGTACGGAGTAGAACTTTAGTGCTACTTCATCTTAGGGGTGAGCAAATCGGGTACCCAGCCAAAATTTTAGGAACCAGACTTGGAATTGGTTGATACTGGGTCCTAAAATCTAGAATTGGAATTGGAACCACTTCAACTGGGTTCTAAAATTTAGGAATTGGTATTGAAACCACCGGGTACCCACTAATGTACACAATTGTTAAATTTAAATACAATATTTTGATCCATTTTCATTTTTAACGTTTAATAATTATATTTACATATACATAAAGCTATTTTATCTATGTTTAGTATTATTATAATATTTTTTTAATGTTAATAACTAAATACATTCTAACATAAGTTTGTTCCTTAAATACGTTTAGTTTAATAATTATTGGGTAACAGAGTACCCAACCCGTTCCG